CACCAACCAAAAAGGAATCTTGCGGAGGACCATTTAACTGTTCTGTCTGTCACTATACATCCGTGGCATAGATAGGTGACCAAAGATAGATTATTTCTCTTGAAGAATAATCATTTCCTGGCCACTGGAGTGAAATGGTCTCATTTCCCACCTTGCAGAGGCACTCGGCCCCACTGGTTAAGTACGGTAACAGACTATTTTGTACTCCATTACATGACATTACACGACAGCGCTCACCCGAGGTGTGACGCAACCGGCTCCAAGTCATCCGCCACCCTAATGAGGGCAAGCGGTAGAGCAAAGCGAATGTATTAAGAGTTATTTGAGTACCTGGCTGACAGGAAAGGTTGGCGAGTTTGCAAGAGACGTGGTAAACTCTCCGTGGCTCAAATGTGCGCTGCCGCTACAAATCTTACATGCAAAAACTGATGGAAATTCCGTCCCGTTTCCAGAGGGTACGCAAAGAAAATCCCCCCCCCCCCACCAGCGGACTATGTCAGGCACCTGTCTGCAGGAATATATCACGTCTTGGTCAAAAGCGCATGTAATAATATTTAATAAGGTGCTCCAATAATTGATCTTGACTTCCCTTTCGGTCTGTTTCCGAAAGGTTCACCAGTCGTGGCTGATTATGCAACCTGAGAGGTTGGCTTCTGAAATTCGAATGTTTTTTTTTTTTGTCGGTGCGGGAATAGAAAAAAAAGTCTGCTGAAGTGAAAAGAAGCTGGTCCGGCTGTTTTGTGCTGGGATTGAAACGGTCAACAATGGTGGTTAGCAGTTATTGTGAGGTAGTTGTGAGGGTCCGAAATTAGACTCTTTGCTCTATGGCCTTCCTGCAAACTAAATTCTGATATTGCTTCCATTAATTTGTATTCATTTATTTCCATCCGGCGATTCATTCTTTTCATTTTGAAACATTTCTCTTGGCTGCCTTGCTTGAGGTACGCGAATGTGGACGTAACCTTTTTTTTTTTTTCATCCAATAAGATTTCAGCCTCTTTGTGTTGCCATGTGAATCTAATCTGCCCCTGTGCAACCAATCCGGTTTTAAATTTGCCAATCATCTGCATCGTTCTATCATCTGATTCGTTGATCAGAGCAAAACGGTTCCACGAGCAGGTCTGTTGATAATCGGCGCCTCTGGTGAATATGATTCTTTCCCATTTTTAAAAAAAATATATTTTGGTGACATTATTAGAAAAATATTGATTTTGAACTGCTCCAGTGATGTACGTGGCGGAGTTGTATGCTGGCATATTGTGAATGAGATGTCTCCACCATACCTAAATACATTTACAAGGTGCTTTCGGTTAAACGAGTCGTACTGATGCTTTGTCATTTTGTCGTTTTAATCGCAAGCCTCCAATGGGCCCAATGAGCAAAACAACACTTAGTAGCAACAATGTCTCGTCAAGCCTCACAGCAGTTAAAACAAAGCAGACGACACAACACCCAGAAGCGCGCCGGCTGGCTGGAGCTGACCCTCAGCGGGGCCGGCGACCCCCTCCGCCCCCCCTTCTCGTGACCTTTGACCGCAGGAAGTGAAAGCTGTGGCAGCGTGACGGCCGGCTGTGACAAGTCTGAGCGAGTCGTCACTCTCGCGTCGGGTCTGCTTCTCAAAATGGGGTCCAGTTGATTTTATGGACCCCCTGCCTCCAGAAAAGTAATTTCCAATAAATGATGACACCATCAGTGCAGAGGTTATCAAAAGTCTACACACCCCTGTTCAAATGCCCGGTTATTGTTGGGGGGGGGGAGTCAGACCAAGATACATTTCAAATGTTTTTTTTGCCATCATTAAGGTGACCTTGCTGAGATCAAACTAAACAACAGAAATGTGGTTGCACAAGTGCGCACACCCTCTTCTACCGGGGGATGTGGCTGTTCTCAATCAACCAATCACATTCCAACACATGTTAAATGGGAGTCGGCGCACACCTGCCACCATTTCAAGTGCCTTTGATTGATCCCACCGAATAAATTTCAGCTGTTCTAGTATACATGTGTGTAAACGATGTTAGGTTTGATTGGTGTTGCGATTATAAGATGCGCTGCTGCTTCCCTAAGGATGTTTCACCACATGTTTTTACACAACGCGGCAGCCGGAGGCATGTCGCATATCTCAAGACACGGCACAGTGGAGGAGGACATCAAGTGGAAGGCAAGCGCGGACGCCCTCACGCCGAGCCTCATCTCTGCTCCTCAGGCGTGACACATTGCCTGCACATGAGCGTGAGTCAGTGGGTCACTGAGTCAGTCGTCGATTCAACTGAGTCAGCCAGGTGCCTTTTCTTTCTTTATTCCGAGGAGGCCAAATCCTGACAAATGACACAGAAAACACAAACAGCGACATTCCGCGCAAGGACACAGAGGTGTGGGAGAGAGAGCGAACGGGTTGGGTGGGGAAATCACATCCCTTGAGATTTGAAATAAAAAGAAAGGGGACATGTTGGGCTCGCAGCCCGGCAGCTCAGAAAGCCGACGCGATCAAAACAGTTTCGTGTGAGAATGAAGCCACACTTCAGTGAATTCTGCTCTGTCAAAACACATCACGATTAAGTCACTAAAAGTGCGCCTGATCCCCGCGCCGGTCTCGGACAGTGTTTGAGGTACTAATAGCACAGTGTGAGAATCACTGGTGTATCAAAAAGCAGCACGATCCGTTTGAAAGAGAAGCGACAGGAGTGCTTGTGATTAGATAGATGTCAGCTTTCAGCCAATAAACAAGCCCCCCGGAATACATCCTGACAGCCTCCGTTCCTCTTAAACCGTCCAAACTTCACAAAGAATTTCAGCATCCTCCCACTCTTTCTTCACCTTTCAGACAGACTTTCAAATAAACCCTAAATTCAGTCCCGTAAATGTTGACTCCAGGTTACATCGACCCACCCTGCGCCGAGCGAACCAGCTGGCAGGTGAAAGCAACACAGTATGAAAAAGCCATCCAACATGAGCCTGTGTTGTCACAGCAAACACACGGTGACAAATGACAGCTCTCAGCAGCGGCGAGAAAACAGAAAAACAGCTCCTGATTATCAGGAAGCCTGTCCGAGAATCACTGTGGCAACATGCTGACACAAATGTAACACTTTTGCCTTACCGGGTGACATGCGGGGGCGCGCGCGCGGCGGGTCGGGAAGGGCGTGCGCTGCCGCGGGGGTCATCGATGGACTTCTCCATCCACGGCACCGTGTCATGTTTTCGCGCCTGGTCGTCACAGCGTGCAGGAGCTCCGAACTGACTGTCTTCTCCTTAGCAAAAGTGTGGACTCCATCTGCGTGCAGGGGACGGCTGGAGGCACCTCCTCCTCCTCCTCCTTCTCGTCCTCCCACCCCAGGACCGCTTTCAGAGGCCGGTCTCCTGCCTTGGCCTCCCCCCCGCCACTCAAAGCCTTGCGCAATCTCGCCCCCCCTGGACAAGAGCAGAGAAGGTGTAAACAGCCAAATGAGAACTTGAAATGTATTGACGCATCGGCGCTTGTTTGGAGTTGAGTGTGACCGAGAACAACTGATTTGTGTGATTAGGAGTCTGTGGCATACATGCGCATGATATATGTGCAGTGTGTAGGTGTCAATTCAAGAATTTTGTTTGGGAGACTCTTAAGACTTTTTTTTTTTGCACTTTACAGTGAGTTTAAAACAAAGGGAAGTGAACCTCTAATATGTAGATCATTCTTTAAAACGTTTTTTTTTTTTTTTATAAACAGTACCCAGACAATTTTTGTGTGTGGTTGTGCCCCAAAATGCCAGAGAGCACTGAGCTCTCGTGGAAGACAGAAGCAAATCAAAAGAAAAAGAAGGAAAGGCAAGAAGAAGCAAAGAAGGTCCCCAACTAATCTCCATTAGAGTTATTATTCCGACAAAGCAGATAAAATAAATGCCGGAGTATTTTTGTGGGCTCAGTTTGTATGGATTACTGCTCCTTGTGTGTTAAACTGGTAGCTCTTTGAAGGTTTGTGATATCATTTTATTGGTTAGCATTCACCTAGCACACTTATATGATTTTGTTTGAACATTTTTGGTCTTTAAATATACAATGTTGAATTCTAGTGTCTTGTGTTGTGTCAGGTTTATGCTGGACTTCAACTGGGCATAACAAATAAACCGCTTGAAGGAAGCATGCAACTGATTAAGCGTTTTCATTTCCTCAAAGTGATGTTATATGATAGTCTTCCATTTCTTGACAGCCAGAGCAGTGTGTCTTTTTCCAATCAAGTGTTTTATAATGAGTTTGAATGCATTGAACGCATGTGGGGTCGGTAAAATTACATAAAAAAAAAATGTTCATAGGCTATTCACCTCTCACGTGTTAGCGTCTGGGATGTATCCCCGTGATAAATGGGGGTTCACCGAACAGTTCAAAAGTCTTGCAAGATCATTAAGCTTTGTTGTTTTTAGGAATAATGATACATGAACATTCCAGCATTTTCTGTCATTCTTTTAGAATATAGCCAGAAACGCCAGAACATTAATTACACCACATTATTATTTGTCACATACGTTCAGAGTTTAATCACTTTTTGACAGGCCATATCATATATTTTGATTTATTCACCGCCTTAAACTAAAAGTGATACGTGGGAAAGATACAGTATCTTAGTTATTTCAAGAATTCTGCACTATAAGTTAGAGACCAGATGGAAGAAAAATAAACTTAACGACACAGCGCAGCTTGCAGGGTGAAGCCTATATTCATTCTAATTGCTGTTTGTTAGCGTTGACGGAAATAAAGCCACAACGTGGAGGACTCAAACACACACACACACACACACACATACACTCAGACATGTACTAAATATTTGTCCTCAATTTGCTTCTGGTGCTGCCTCTGTGCTGACTCACATCCAACAAGCATGTTTGATGTGATGAAGCCAGTTTTTCTCCTTCACGGCTTTCACTAACCTGTTCAGTCCTGCCTCCAAGTCAGCGTGGACGGGGAAAGTCTCATAACATAGGCGAAACTTTCAGTCTTCGTCTTTAATGAGGCCGCTCTTCAAAGTCAATGTTGGAAACTGGAAACAAAAAAAAAAAAGCTTGCAAAAAAGTGAAAAATCCCGTGCGTAATTCTTTTACGCACTTCACCAATCCGGCCGCCAGATGACTTTAAACCGGGATTTAAAAAGGCTTCTTCCAGGTAAGTAAGTATCCGATGCTGAGTGTCTTGTGCTGCTCCGTGAGAATGTCGCGCACGCTGTGAAGCAAACACCAGCGAAGTGTTCCTCCAATGGCCCGCGGTGCAGCGGGCTGTGCGTAAAAAAAAAAAAAAAAAAAAAAAAAAAACGCCGCTCCGCTCCGCTCCGCCTGTCAGAGTGAAAATGGAGCCCGCCGGTCGCTCTTCAAACTGTTGCGACTTCCTCTCACTCGCATAGCTCAAGTGTCTTGTGGTTCCTCAGGGGGGGGGAGGCAGGCTGGGATGGGATTGTCACTGAAGATCAGCGTGGGGCGCGTTGGTTCAACAACCCCCCCCCCCCCCGGAGTTCGCCAGATTCACCTGCGAGGACATAAAGTGGACGGGTTACAGCAGCTCGAGACCTCAGTGAGGACTTACCTGATTCAAGCCACCTTTCAATGCAGTCATCCTCAACCGGTGCCGTGTGTGTTCTCCAATTTCATCTAATTGAGACCAAAAAAAAAAAAGACGATACATATAACGTAAGCAGTTAATCTAACAGCGGTCTTTCTCAAGTCAGGGGCGTGGTTTGATAGCGGTGTAGGGGGGGGGGGCCTTTGGAGAATGCTGTTCCACTCGATGGCAAAAGTTACATCACACTAGTCAAAAGCAAATTTTAATCAAGAGATGCTTCATGTGCCCCTAAACGTATTTTGGACACTGATATCAAAAATGTTTTTACTGTATTACTGTCATATCAGATTTCTGAGAGACAGGTATGTTCACTTTTTGCGTTATCTGACCCATAAAAGTTTACGCAATACAGATTTTTCCATAATTTGTAACTGTGAGTTTCAGAGAAAAATAAACTTGTTGGTGAACCTAATTCTGAATTAATAAATATTACTGAATATATTACTATATTGCATATTATAATATGAAACCTGATATACTAGGGAAATTAATCTGTTCCAAATCACTGAAACCCCCCCCCCCAAAAAAAACCGTAGAAAAGCTGACTTGAATCTCTGATTTAAAAAAAATATATATTGTTGACACCCGTTGACAAAAAAATTTCAGGGGGCACCAAAATCAGCCCTTCATTCCCAGCCATTCATTGTGCTTTGCACGCCACTGCCAATGACACAAATGAGCACAAATGAAAAATAAAGTGAATAAAACGATATTATCAATTCAGGAACTCAACCGGCAAATTTCATGGAACATTTTTTTTTTTTAATTTGATTTGTAAATGCAGGCATCTGCCAGTCCGCCTTGCCAGCCCATCACTGCTCTCCACCTTCCACACAACGACGAGGCACTCCCTGCATGGCAAACACTGCAGGCCCGCCTGCGCACAAAGGCTGGGTAAACACTTCTCCACCGAGGGCCCACTCACCTCGCAAAAGGCAGAGACAAAGGCAGGGAGGATCCCCGTTTTGCGCCTCTATTAATAGTGGCCGTGACAACAACGAGCACAGCTTCAAGTGGGTGACATGCAGGAATGTACAGTCAGATAATACGATGGGCTCCGAAGCAATTGGAGCGGGTGAAAGCCATTGATGTTTTGTTTGGGAGATAAAACGCACTCGGGAGATCACACTACACAGACAGGACACTATGTCACTACACTTGGTGCACATAACACAATCACATGTATAATAATAATAAAATAAAAAAAACAGATTTGAGCAGTGGTTCGCATCACCTCAAAAAAAAATTGGCTATCCAAGTAGCACAATCATGACCAACGTTAAAGTACAGCTGGCATAAAAAGTTGATATTATATTATAGTAAACTGCCATCACAATATGCACAGTGTGAACATCAACATCAGAAAATGAAAAAGACGAAGAATGATAATTTAAACCAAAAAAATAAAAAAAATGAAAAATAAAAATCTGATATGATGATTTCATGATGAAGAATGAGAAATTAAACCCCCCAAAAATATCAACATGAATGTTTGAAAACAGTTTAAAGATTAAATGCAACTGTATTGTACTTTAAAGTTAAATACAAGTGAACTGTATTGAACAAACGTATCGTGCTGAATCATTCTTGATTTAGCCGGGAATAGACCGCTGATGAGTATTTTCCACAAAAAACAAAACAAAAAAACGCATTGGCTATGACCTCAATAAATGGACCTTAAACTGGATATCAAGAATAACGAATACATGCTGAAAAGTTTTGCGGCGAGCCATTTGAGCATTTATGTCAGTGAGGCAAATCTGTGCACTGCTTGACAAATGTGTGCTACTAATACTCGGTGTGACATTATAAAATTTAAACTGGGCAAAATTAGATTCACTAGTTGGACAAATAGTGTTAGCATGTGTCATAGTTGTCTTACAGTAGCACAACTAAAGTCATAAAATTCTAATAGTTGACACATTGGTAGTACTAGTAGGGCACAAATGTTAACTACGACGTAGTTTGACCTCATACTGTTGTAGTGGGGGAAGAAAATGTTACTAGCACGACATACTCGTTCTTCTAGTGCATGCTAGTTGTTCAACTAGCGTGCTAATTTGTCTGACCGCTGAGTACAAAGAGTGAGCTAGCCAATGAACCTGAAGCTGGATAGCAAGGATCTTAGCTAGCATGAGTCCGAAAATGTTACTAGTTAATCTCTAGCGCATCACTAGTAGTACTAATAGCGCACAGACATCCCTTAGTGCACAGTCTTGCCTCACTACTGCCTTCCATGACTTCCTGAACACTTGTTAGAGAATGTTACTGCGGAGGAAAACTATGCTACTACGACACACATGCTGATGATCAATAAAATGTTTTGTTGAATTCAAGGCCCACGGACAGCCCAGCGGTTGAGGACGCTATCGGCTACAGCGCAAGGCGGAAAAAAAATAAAAGAAGGCTCAAAGGAATGGCGCAGCAGTCCAGTTGCTGCCGAGGCCACGACATGTAACAAGTGAGTCAACATCATCCATCACTGTGAGCGATGAACTTGTTAAGGTGTTGTTTGAGGCTTTGGAGCGTGACAATGTTTGTACAGTCGCCTCATACAAGCACAACACACACACACGCACACACACGCACACGTCACAAACCTTATATAGAATCCTTGGAAGAATGCAAAACCCTTGCACAACTTTGTACAAATCGAGGATCTCAGGCCACTTGTGGGATGTGGATTTGTTTCGATTTCCATAGCGGGAGCAGGTCCTGATACTTCCGACTCTTCCTGGAAAGATGCTGCAAAATTCAGCCACATACGCCACCCCACCGACCCCCCTGCTAGAACTGCCACTGCCCAGTACCCCTTTGCAGCTAATCTTCATGGAAGTTTTTCCGTGGGAACTTTTGTCCATTCATCCAGAAGAATTTTTTTAAGGTCAGACGTGGCCGATGTTGGACCAGATAAGCTCACAATCTGGGGTTTTGATGGCAATGAAGTCAGCACTCTGGAGTCTTCCACATCAAATTCCTCCAGCCATGCCTTAATGGATCCTAGGAGAAGAGGACTTTTCGCAAATTTAAGAGAATAACTGCCTTGGTCATTGCAAAAATATTCTTCACAATATGTTCTATACAGCACTATTAGTCTTGACAAAGCATTGTGATAAATATTGTGTGTGTGGAATATAAGTTACGCAGTAAAATCCACCTGTTTTTGACCACCTCAGGGGGCGGCCATTTTGCCACTTGCTGTCAACTGGAAATGACATCACAGCTCCTCACAAAGGTCCTGTGATGTCATCTTCAGCCGATAGCAAGTGGCAAAATGGTCGCCTCATCTGCCCCCCCCCCAAAAAAAAAAAATTACTTTTCAGTTCAGCCAAAGATGTTATTAACTACGAGACGTTGCGCCTCTGAAGCAACAGTTATATGACAATAAAATGACTTTCTGTCACTGCCGTTTTTATGTAAAAAAACAAAATATTGTGCTTTTTTTTATGTGTGTACGTGTGTGTACTTTGTGTGAAACACTGAAGACCACCAAACATGAAGTAGGGAAAGCTGATTTTTCTTCTTTTTTTTTTCATCTCGCCATTCCACCTCTTCGGTTTCAGGCCTGGGGGTCACGGCCTCTTTCTCCCAAGTCGTCTGAGAGGAGGCAAGGCGGGGAACCTGTCGCACAAAATTGAAGGCCCGCCATTTGAAGAGGTGCAGGCTCGTTCGTACGTCCGTCCGTATGCTGGAGTAACAGTTGGCCGGCCGGCCGCTTCCTGGAGATCCCAGGTGGCAAATATCCTCCCGCTGCAGCCGCCTCTCGATCCCACCCAGTGGAGCTGGGAAAGCTGTTAAGGAACAAGAGCTTTGAGGCGTGACTTTTTTTTTTGGGGGGGTCCGTCACCCTATTCACAGCAAAATGGCTTGGTCCAGCGCAGCGGTGGGAAGATTATTGTGCAAAGGTGGATTTTCCAGGTGTTTTTTACCATTATCGCTCGTGTATTTTAATTTTCAACGGCCTTTTCCTTTCATGCCCTCCGCTTGAAAACATATCCATCCTTTCTTCCCCTTACTTTGTCAAAATAGGCTCTTGACACTTCTCAATGGTGCAGCCAACTTAGAGCTGGACAGGCCATTCACTCCCAGAGACACTCTGGTTTGTTTAAGACATCGACGTGAATGTGTGCGTGTGTGTACAAACGACAGTTTGCCACCTTGTCGGACACAAGGATGGGATCACAGAGGAATGAGTAGGCATAGGTACATTTTTTTTTTCTTTTGTGCAACAATGATTAAAATTTTACTGCATGTTATTTGTTGCGTTTATCATGGTGGCTATAGTCTGTCATGGTGATTCCTACGCACCTTGTTCTGGGACTTCAAACGTCAATGAAATAAAGATTTATTATATTTCTGTTTCTAAAAAGACTCTCATTATGTTTGATCTTTTGAACGTATTTAACAGGAGTAATTTGGCATGCCTGTTTTGACTTGCATTGTTTTCATTGTGGAGACTACCGGGACAAGTAATAGTAACTATGCTCTTCCAGCAGTTATCTAAATTAGCTAACCTGAATTTTAAAGAACAACCCCATTTTAACGTTAAGCATTTACAATGTTATCAAGCCCTGGAATATTGTTTGCATTATTGACGTGGCTCTTTTTTCCTTCCTAAAAAACGGTTAGGGTATTTGTTCCTTATTGTTGATCAGAAACGTTTGGTCCCCTGGCAGACGATGCCGCGCTTGCATCGACCAAAGATAAATTGGAAACACAAATAGTCTTGTTGGAGCCATTCATTCTCTCAGTGCATCCTAGAGCGGGCGGTGGGTGTATCTTGACAAATTCCAGAATCAGTCACAAACTATGTCCATTACAAACCTTTTTATTGGGCTGCAGAAAGCAATTTACACTTGGATTTAAACAGACAGTAACACACCTTCATTTTGATCACTTGCCATTGATGATGCTGAAGAAAAAAAAAAAAAAAAAGTCAAAATAATCAACATGTTTGATTGAATACATTCGACTTCATCAAGGAGATTTGGGCCCCAGTCCACCTGAATAACAACTGCATGGGGGGAGCGGGGAGGGGTTTTGTGTGTGTGTGTGTGTGTGTGTGTGTGTGTGTGTGTGTGTGTGTGTGTGGGGGGGCGGGGGGTGGGCTTATGGGGAAAGTGCAGCACTTCAACAGAAAATCTGTTTAACGTCAAAGGGACTGCCAGATCAAGCCTGATGTATAACGATGCCAAAGTGGCACAGCGTCAACATGGAACGCTGCAGATGCCTGAATTGACAAAACACTTCCTGCTGGTGCATTCAAGGACACCAGTCGAAACACTCGGAGGTGTTCTTTGAAAGTCAAATTGACAAGGCGAAATGTGTCATACTTGGGACTGGCCATTGTTTACTCCCCCCGCGTGCATGGAGCGCATTTGCCAAAACTCCTCTCTTTCAAACTTCTCTGTCGCCAACTTAAATTAAAACGTACACATATTTTCAATTTAACGGGGACATATTGAAAATGGATCTTTTAAGTGTTTGTGTGAAAATAGTTGCCCACCAATTTAGCGGGAAATTAAACATCCAAGTACATCTTGCATTTCTTCATTTCTACAAATGCGCCTCTGGGTGTTCAGTTGGGAGTTTTGAAAAGTAGTGCGGCGAAGTGTTGCCTGCGCTGAATGAAAATACGGTCGATTATCTTGCTGCAACTCCTCCAGCTCCATATACGGTTGTCATGGTAACAAAACCTGTACTTGTCATTTGCCCGTCAATAGGAGCTGAGATCATTGCAGTTAGACAAAATGTACTCTCCATTGGGATTTTTGACATGTTATTGTACCTGGCTACTCTAAATTTTGCAAAAAGGATAATACGTCCCCTTTAAAGTGAAATGCATCCAAAATGAGCACATCTGATTGAATGGAAAAATCAACCAAGTGAATAAAAGTGACTATCAGTACCCAACAGAAGCAAACACACTACTCACAAAAAGTTATATTTCGGGGAGAACCTAAAATGTACTAGAACCTTCCAAATGTGGACTTAACTTGACCCCTTAACTTTCGAAAGCAGATCCAACATTTTTTTTTCAGGGCTGAATGGCAAAATTCACAACATTTCCAAGGGCACTCGGATGCCTTTCTGTGACTCTTCCAGTGTTGTCACCAGCGCCACTCCACCTTTGAGAAGAATCCGTTTGATGTGTATGACCTCAGAGTGTCACAAAGTGTCAACAGAGACCAGGGGAGTCACAGAAAGGCATCCAAGTGGCCCTTTTTCTGAGCACTGTATGTTGAATTTTACAGCAGCAGCAAGTGGAAAGTGACGATGCAGATTGTAGCCCACGGCTTCAAAAACAAACAAAAAAAAAAAAGACAACCAGTGTCTTCAAGCGTTCCTTAACTGGATCTAAAGATGCATGCGTACACACACACACCAGACACACAACAAAGTGGACCCAAATCTCCCAAATGACGTACAGCTGACGGCTCAGAGCGGATCAACGGAGCTTCACCTCATTACAGTTTCCAGGAGATGAAACGTAAGGCAGTGTGAGCGCCCGGTACGGTTCGCAAACCGCGATCCTTTCTGAGTAGCATGGGATCTGAGCACAGGTGCCTTTACAGTAAGAATGCACTTCCAGCGGACGAGCAGATACAGAGGAGAGGTGGGGGGAAAAAAAAACCACCTGAGAGTGAAAGAGAAATCACGAAGCTTTCAAACGCACGTGGTTAACAAAACGGATGATGTCATTGGCATGTTGGCAAGCAAACAGATACTTGGACAGTCCTGCCTTGAGATTGTTGATTGCGTTATATCGATATAGTACACGTTAGCAATATGAAAATAGCCAAAGAGTGATTTGAAAAGACGACGCAACAGAAACAAAAACAAACAAACAAACAAAAATCATTCTCGGACAACAAATCTGGCCGCAATCGCCGAAGAAGCAAACACGGTCAAGGCAAACAGATTTCAGGTTTCCTCGGAACGCGACAAGAAAAGAAAGCAGGCCCGCCTGTGATCCAAACGCTGGGTCTCAGTAACTAAATAAATAATGAAAACAATATACATCTATTTCTCGACAAATCGGAACGCGTCACCAATTTCTGAAGCGCGGCGAGAGCTGCTGCAACGGGTAGGATGGAAAACGATTCACCCGACCGGACGAGGCAACGCGGGCAGGACTGGCCCGTTGCACTCGCTTACTAAAACGCACACACGAGAGATGGAACCGATCGAGGGTTCTCACCTGACAGGGATGACGAGCTGAAGAAAAGTGATTGGTCTTGCAAAAGAAAAAAAAAATGGCCTCTCCTTCGTTTCACTCAAGAGCGAGTGATTCCCAACCACTCGGTCGTGGGAAATGAGCCAATTTCAAAAATGATGATCTATTTACGACAAATTATGTATCTTGGTACGTCTATCTACGCCAGTGACGTATAGTGACAGGTGGAACAGTAGGATGCTCTTCCACTAGATGGCAGAAGGTCCAATTAACGTGTAGATCCAACTGTTGTCTTTCACACAACAGAAAGTTTTCACAAGGACTTGATGTGAGTAAATCAAAGGACGATTCTATTGATATGTTCTTTTTGTGTGGCATTTTTGTTTGGTGGTGTGCCATGAAAAGTTAATTAGAGTTAACTTTCATGGCACATCGTTAATTAACTTTTAAAAATGATTTGGGTGAGAACGACGGTGACATTGTGATGTCAAGGCATAAATAAAAAGGTGAATTGATTTCAGCCTGTATTGACTTAGAAATTGATTCAGGTGAGAACTACGGTGGCCATTTTTTTTTTTGCATGGTGTGCAGTATTTTTTTTCTTTTATGTAAACAACGTAGCACGGTGAGATGTTTTATTTTTTTTAGGTAAATAGTGTGGCAGTCAAAATTAAATCAATTTCAGTCTGTATCAACTTGGGAACTGACATAGATGAAACTACGGTGGCTTTAAGTGGCCAAAATTATATATTTATATTTGGTGGTGTGAGTCCCCCCCATGTAACAGCGTAGTAGCCAAAATTATGTATATTTCAGCTCGTATAAACAAGAAAAACGATGATTGTGAGAACTAGAGTGACCTTATAAGATACAAAAACAGGTTTGGTTTTGATGGTGGACCATGAGATTTTTTTTTTTTGGGGTGTAACAGCAGAAAAGCCAGAATTAAATGGATTTCCCCTGTATCAACTAGGTGACAATTACGGTGGCCTTAAATGGAATAGCACCACAAGGGGAAAAAAAAAAAAGATTTCAGGCTATTTCGATTTGGAAATCGATTTTTGGTGTTCACTACAGAGGCCTTCAATGATCTAAAAGTTTTTTTTTTTAAGCTTATGGAGCGGTACATGGGCGATGGGACAAAAAAAAAATGTGGTTATCAAAATAAAATGATTTTTAGCCTCACGAAATACTTATGGTGCCCTTAAATGGTTTTAAAAGGACATTTTTTAAATTTGGTAGTGAACTGCGAGACTTTTCTTGATGTGCTTTGGCGCAACAAAGGTTGGGAAACCCCGCATTCGAGACTCAAGATGAAGAAAACTTTGGTAAAACAAGGATTGAAGTACACTTAAAAAGAATATGCTTGCACACTGGGTTTGTTAAATCAACCTTAAATCTTCACCACCTCAAGATGTCAAATAAAGATGACTTCTGTTGAGAATTGAAGGGGCCTTAGAGGATCCATGGCCACGTGAGTGCAAATTGTTCCAAGCGCTTCTCCTACTCCCGACATAACTGCTCGTGTGAAAAATGGACAGAAGCGAAACGGCGAAGACAGAAAGGAGAAGGTGAGGATGCTGCTGCAGCAGCTCGTTAAAAAGTAAAAATCTTTTGCTATGTACACCGAGGAAAGTGAATACATTCAGGCAGCAAAAAAAAAAGGAGAGGAGTGCCACCTCTCCCCCGTTCGAGGTACATTTGGCACTGCTAATACTTGGCCCGTCCCTGCACCATCTCCGCTTTTGTCCCGCCTTCTGCATGTCGTGTCATTGGTGTGATCCCGGAGATGATATTGGTAAAAACGCTCAAGTGTCAAACGGGAAGTGAGCGGATTGAGTCGTCCTCCCCTTCCGTGTTGCCCCGTGTTGCTTCAATCGGTCGGAGTCTTTGGTTCAGAAGGCACGCGTGTGTGCATGTCACCACTTAACTTATTTTTGAAGGTCGTCTCCATTGATATGGAACCCACCCCCAGAATGTGGAGGCCACTTGGGACACCGGAGGAGTTCGTTTGCTCTTTCCCTGGCTTCCTGCGCAGGAGGTCCAAAGGGAAGGAGAACAGAAGCCAATGTGCTCAGATACCGTTGGTGAGGTCGGTGATCACGTTGGCCTTCACTAACTTGCGCAGGAACTCTTTCTCCTTGGATATGTTGTGCGTCCACGACTGAGGGAATCAGAAAAAAAAAGTGTTTTAAATTGCAGCCCTATTTGAGTTTGCTACCGCCATTTTGTGTTCGTATGTCAAACTTACTTTTTGTTTGCAAGTCAAAGGACAGGGGGAGGGGCAAGCAATATCAATCAAGATACAACTGTAAAAGTACGCCCCTTTGTGTGAATAAAATAATTTAGATGAAACTAAAAACACCAAAAAAAAATTGTCACAGGATTTAGGCATAGTTTGTCAAATGACCAGTGGTCGTGAAACACATGCGGCCCTGATGGGAAGCAGACTTTGTCTTTATCAACTTCATTATCTGGGCTCAGAAGACCAAACGAGCGCAGGAAAACAGCAGCAGAGTCAAGTGCGCCACACGGCCAACAAATGAATGGCTGATGATGACAGCGTTGATGAAGATGATAATAAACGCAAACAGCCCACTGAGAGTTTAGGGGAAGGTTATCATCAAACGGCGCTCATGGTTTACGCACGTCAACGCTTGGCTCGCGCTGCCTTTCAGCGTAAACGCCGAGGACGAGCATAAAAGGTGATTCAGAGTGGCCATACGGTGAGCGATGGCCAAGGGAATTCCATATGGAAAATTTGGACAAATTCAACATCTTTATTTAGACATTTTTTATTCATTTTTTGACTACCCCCGCCCAAAGAGGAGAAATTATACTCAACTGACACATAAACTAATTAACTCACAACTGTAATAAATCAAGCACCAAAAAATGGGAGGAAAAAAAATAAAAGAATGTAAAGTAATATTGTGTGCCTTTAAGGGGCGTGGCCTAGCCATGAAAGTATCTCGAATCAGATTTGGCCGGTTTTATTTCAATGTGAGCACCCCGGGCGTGAGTTGTGGCCTACAGCAGCGCCTGATGAATGTTTTTATTTTGAATTTGAGTGGTAGTTCCGTTCAATAAAAAGTCATGACTTTCACACTGGCTGTGGGGCAGGGGAAAAAAAAGACTTGAGCCCTGGTCGGGACAGTTTGGCCGTATTTGGAATTGCCGACGTAGCAATCTACAAATTAAGTATGCACAGACAGTTTTTGCAGCTGGTTTGGATGAGAATTTGTGCATCCTTTACAACAGGCTTAAGGTGGAACTTAGTTATAATCTTGATGGTGAATTACAGTCCCACCGGGACCACGTCAAGGTATTCCGTATTACACGCTGAGCAGGGAGCCTTCAACGTGTCACTGTATGTCATGTATTTGTTAGTCCAAAACTAACTGCTAAGTGCAGTGTGAAAAGGGCTGAACCCTCATTTTGGCTCAAACAAAGACCAAAAAAAAAAAAAAGGGCCTTCTAACTTTGAAAACGTCAAAGTATCGTCGTATTTAGTATGCATAAGCATTTGAACCATGTGAAAATGTACGCTATTTTCTAATCATTAAAACCAATGTGAAGATCAGATTTTCTCTCATCCACCGATGTAACTCCCATTGACAGATTGCTACTCCGTTTATGGAAATGGCACCTTTTGGCCATTCCTTCCATCCAGACAACACTCACCTCTTTGATAGCAGACATCTTGACGGCCTCATAATAGTGGAGGGGTGCGTGGGGCGCGTTCATATCATAGCCGAAGCCGGCCACCGCTACCTCATCACAGTTATGCAGCGCCATCGTGATGGCAACCGTGCCTAAAGTTGGAATGTTCTGTCGCCAAAGACACAGACAAGTTCTGGATCAGTCCTCGTTTCCAATTTTCCTCCCTAACCGTGCAGCCCAATTCCTTATCCCCTTCCTTACTTCTGCCTTCCGCCATGACTTACCAAACTCTGATGACTCGTTCTTTAACTATTACCTTGAAGACGTGATACCCCGTTGTGTCTATGACATTGTGATCTACAGGCCTGAACTGTGCCCCCTTATCGCCCCGGGCTGCCCCAGATCGAGGCGGTGTGGGTGGGGGAGGGGTTGAGAG